CATAGCGACCCCTCCTTGGGTTTCCGAGGCAGTATCACTACGGAAGTAGATTGCCCCATCTTCCTTCTGAGGAGTGGCTGGTGGGTTTGAACCGCCACCCTTCTGGTTAGCAGTCAAGTGCCTTAGCCACTATGCTACCAGAGCTCCCAATCACATACTAGACTTCAATAAAAATCTCAAATTCCAAGAGTAAAAATAAACTTACATAATTTTTTAAAAGACAAATTTTGGATATTTAAAAAAAAATTATTTGGTAAAGAAAAAAATTGAAAATAAAATTTGAAACTATTTAAATTAATAACAGTTAAGCCCCTTTCTTTGAAACCTATGGGGATAGAGCTAAAGTACTTTTGGGGAAAATTTTATAGGATTTAAGTAGTCATTTAAAAGAATTAAATATAACCAAAATAATGATTTAACCAAAAAAAGCAGGAAAGAAATACAAAACAAATTTATAGAAAGTAAAAGGAAATAATAATAAAAATAAAATAAAGAATTGGTATAAAACACAACAAATCTCAGTAAAAAATAAATAAATAAGCAGACTCAATCTACATAATCAATTTTTTTTTCAAAAAAATTATATAAACCTTTGGCAAGCTTGATAAGGGACACAGAGGATTAAAATGTTTAATGTTAAGACTATTACCACAATAAGTTTGAAAATATAGATGCAATGATTAATTTACTAGACATTAACAATAATTAGAAGATTTTAAGAAAAGGTTAAAAACTAGAACACAAAACAACTAAAATGACAGTAAAAAAATCTTTCCATTAAAAAAGGTATAAGTTCTGATGACACCAAGAGAACTAGTAACAACAACAAAAAAAATGGATAAATTAACTTGATCAAAATTAAACGTGCTTTATAAAGAAGGTGAAAAGATACTCTACAGAATAGGAGAAAATATTATGGTAACCCTATATCTAAAAGGGTTTACTATCTAGAATGTATAAAGAACTCCTACAACTCAACAACAAAAAGACAAACAACTCAATCCAAAAATGAGCAAAGGACTTGAATACACATTAGGCCAAAGAAGACAAATGGCCAATAAGCACATGAAATGATATTCAAAGCTATTAGTCATTAGGAAAATGTGAGTCAAAACCACAATGATATAACACTTCACTAAGGATCATCATCCCACTAGGATGACTATTATCAGGAAAAAAATTAATGAAAATAACAAGTATTGTCAAGGATATGGGAAACTGGAACCCCTGTCCATTGCTTGTGTGTATGTAAAATGATGGAGACATTGTGGGAAAAGTTTGGGCAGTTCCTCAAAAATTTAAACATAAAATTACCATAAGAACCAGCAACTCTACTCCTATGTATATACTCAAAAGAATTGAAAGCAGGGACTCAACCAGACACTTGTATACTAATGTTCTTTGCAGTTTTATTCACAATAGCCAAAAGATGGAAATAACCATGTCTATCTATCTATCTAATCTATCATTATTAGAATATTATGCAGCCATAAATAGAAATGAATTTCTGAGACATGCTATGGCATGGGTGAAACTTGTAAACCTTATTATGCTGAGTGAAATAAATCAGATACAAAAGGATAAATACTGTGTGATCTCAATTACATGAAACATCTAGAACAGGCAAATGCATAAAGACAAAAGTGTATTAGTGGTTACCAGGATCTTGGAGGGAAGGAAGAAGGGGGAATTACTACTTAATATGTACTGAGTTTGTGGCATTAAAAACTTTTAGAAATGGATAGTGATGGTGGTTGCACGACACGGTGAATGTAATAATGTCACTGAATTGCACACTTAATAGTTAAATATATATATTTATTTATCATAATACAATTATAGAAAGCAAATAAAAAACCAAACTCATTGCTGTCAAGTTAATTCTGACTCATAGTGACCCTACAGAACAGAGTTGAACTGCCCCCAAAGGGTTTCCAAGGCTATAAATCTCTACAGAAGCAAACTGCCACATCTTTCTCCTGAGGAGTAGGTGAGTTTGAACCACCAACATTTAACCACCCACCACATTACTACAGCTCCTTTAAAAAGTAAATAAACAAAACAAAACAAAAAGGTACAAGATCTACATAAAACAAGGTCCAGAGTTCTACTGAAGTTTTCTAAGCTATTTATATTTTTCTAAAGCAAAATAAAGACAGAAACTTTCCCAAATCACTCTGTGGCTTCAATATCCCTGATAAATTTAGTATATAGCCTTAACTATGTAAATCTATATATAGATGTCTGTATCTATATATGTGTAAAACTATCTCTGTAAGGAACATAGTTTCCAAATATGAATAAAATATTATAGTGAACCTGCAACATGTTGTTGTTAGTTGTGTTAAGTCAATTACAACTCATGATGACCCCATAAAATATATTGTAAAAATTCTGTATTATAACTCAATAAGGTTTATAGTAGAAATGCAAGAATACATTAACCTTAGAAAATCTAATGTTTAATTTACTACACTAAGAGATAAAAGAAGGGAAAAAAATGCCAAAAATGTCAATACCCTTTCCTGATTAAAGGCCCTAATTATTTAGTAATGGGAGGTAACTTATTTAATCAATATTATATTTATTGAAAAACATTATAAGTATCCTGATTAAGTATTCTGAATAAAATCAAAAAACAAATCAGAAAGTATCTTCTATTGCTGATATTATGCAACATTGTTCATGAGAACCCTGCCGATACAATACAGCAAGAGTAAAAATAAGGCAGAAAAAAATGAAAAGAAAGAATCACAACTGTCATTATTTGCATATCATAAAACTGTCTAAAAAGTTTAAGACAATTAACTAAAAAGCAATTAGAACAAATTATGTGATTTAATAAGCTACCTAGACATAAAATAAACACAAAAATTAAACTATTCTCATCAATGACTTCAAAATACACCAGAAAAATATAAAATACAATGTATAAGATCGTGTGTACAACAGCAACAAAAATGTTTATAACTCCTACTCAACAACTTTAGCAGGACATATGCAAGATCTATTTAAAGAGAGGCAGAGTATAAAAGAAGGTCTGAATCAATGAAAAGACATACCATTTATTTGTGTAGAAGGGCTTAGTATCATAAATCTCTCATTACTGTCTCAAGTAAATCTAAAAATTCAACACAATCTCAGTGAAAACCCATGGAATTTTGTGCAGAAATGGACAAGATGATTACAAAATTCATCTAGAGGAGTAAATGCTTGTTAATCTAAGGTCTACTTGAAATAGAACAATGAGATAGATTTGCTCTACCAAATAGGAAAACATTATAAAACTACAGTAATGAACATACTGTGTTATTAGCATAGGAATAGATAAATTTATCTATGAAACAAAATAGAGTCCAGAAGCAGACCCATGTTTACATATTGGAATTTAGTTTATGAAATGATGGGTTAGTAATTAAAGTATTGGGATGATGGGCTATTCATTTAAAAATGAAACAAAACAAAAAAAAACAACACTTAGATACCTACCTCACACCATATACAAAAATCATTTCCAGATGGATTAAAGAGCTAAACATAAAAACAAAACAATAATAATATTAGAAAAAAATTTAGAAAAGTATTTGCATAACCTCAGGAGAAGAAGGTCTTCTTAAATATGACACATGTCTAAAACGCCATAAAGGATAAGATTTAGGGACAGGACATAAGAATCAAATACTTCAGCATGGCAAAAGACAAATAAGCATAGTTAAAAGAGGAATGACAGAAAATACTTTCAGTATATGTGACAATTATACTCATACAATGCAAAGTACTCCTTTAAATTAGAAAAAGCAACCCAATAGAAAAATGAATAAAAGATAAGTACAAATGATCCACAACAGAACTACAAATGGCCACAAACAAATGACGAGACACCAATTAAAACAAATAGAGACATATTTTTGAATGTCACTTGGGAAAAATTAAAAGGTTGATACCATTCAGTGTTGGTGAGGGTATGAGGAAAGAGTTATTTTCAAATGTCACTACTGAAATTGGGGTAGTTTTTGCTAAGGGAAGCTAGACACAATCTGCCCACACTAAAAATGCAAGTTCCTTTCAACTCAGCAACTTCACTTCTAGAAGTCTTAGAAAAGTACGTGCTCATGTAAACACCAATATTTGGTTGAAGTCGTTTATTTCATTGTTTTCAAGGGTAATATGTTCATCATTAAGGGCATGTTACTGCTGGTATTAGGTGTCTTTGAGTGGACCTTGACTCATAGGGACCCTGTGTGACAGAATAGAACTGCTCTATGAGGTTTTCTTGGCTATAATCTTTATGAAAGCATTTCACCAGGTCTTTCTTCCACAGAGCCGCTGGATGGGTTTCAATTGCCAACTTTTCAGTTTGTAGTTAAGGTTTAACCATTTGGGCCACGAGGGCTCCTCATTAACAGCACAGGCAACAGTTAAAAGGAATATGGGGATGTAATAGAGCTACGTGTACTCATGAGGAGCCCTGGCAGCACAGTGGTTAAGCACTCAGCTGCTAAGCAAACTAGTTCAAACCCACTAGCCACTCTATGGGAAAGATATGGCAGTCTGTCTCCATAAAGATTACAGCCTTGGAAACCCTATGGGGCAGTTCAACTCTGCACAGTAGGGTTGCTATGAGTTGGAATCAACTTCCTGGCAATGGAATGTACTCATATGTAAAGATATCTATGCTATATTAAATGCAAAGCAAGACCTAACAAAATGTATTAGCATTCTTATTCATGTGAAAAAGTGTGTGTGTTTATATAAGCAAATATATTACATAACAATAATGTGTAACTTTCTAAATGGATTTAAAAAAAAAAATGGCCCAGAAAGATTAAACCAGTTGTTTCCTCTAAAGAGGTGAGTGAGAGGAAGTAGTGACCAGAGAGAAAACATCACTTTTTACTCTATGTATTTCTATACTGTTTGAAATCTTATCATGATTGTGTATCATACTGGAAAATTTTAAAAGAAAAAAAATAAAGAAACATAACTAAAGGGAAACCAGAGGACCTAATTAATTTAAGTTCTATATCAAAAGATGACTTTAAAAAAAAAAAAAAACTAAAATTGTTATAGGCATTTTTATACCTAGCTTCTTGATGAAAGAAAAAATAGAAGTCAGGGCTATAAGAGAATTTCTCTTGACAAAAACTTTGAAATAATGGAATTTTCCAAATTGATATTGGTGTTCGTCTCATTTGATGATTTTACACACATCCTGTGAGAGTGTTCTATACTGAAATCTCCAAGTTTACAAAGAGAAAGAAATTCAAGTTTGATGGGAACCAACTGTGATGAGCTTAAGCATTTGGGCAGAAAGTTTCAGAGGGACATTGCTTGGTCACGGGGGCCCAAATAAGAAGAATCTTATCAAAAATAAGATCATCAACAATGAGAGTGAAATTTACGTTGCATTGGTCCAAGTGTAGACTGAAATATTCTAAGAGATCTGTGGTGTAACTAAAAGAGCAATGAAGCCCAGAGTTCTGATATGGCTTCTGACCAGTGCTTAACCTCTTTAACCTTCAAATTCCTCATCTTTATAGTAAGAGTTAACTGTCCTGCCTAAGATGAGCTTATGTATGTAAAACCACACTGAACATCATAAAGTGCTAAAAATAGATGCATAAAGTAAATAACTGTCTGCATTGTGTGGTCTTACATGATACAGGAGGGCACAATGAATCCAACCTCCTAGACTTCTCATATTTACTCTAAAAACACATTTAGACTGAGCTATTTTTCCTCCAAGGTCACCTATGTCCATTTACATTGGAGAGTCCCATTCTAGGAAAAGTAGTGGCCAAGTCCTTCCCTAGTAAAAAATAGTTACAAACGTCCCTCTGGTAAAACCAACCCAGACAAACAACGGGCCCATATAATAATCTAATGATAAAAATAATACTAACCAATATACACTGATTACCAGCCACTGCATATTACATCTATTCCTTATTATTAATCTTTTCTCCCACCCTAAGTGATACTGAAAAAATCAAACTCATTAGCATCAAGTCAATTCCTACTCCTAGTGACCCTATAGGACAGAGTAGAACTACCCCATAGGGTTTTAATCTTTATAGAAGCAGATTGCCACATTTTTCTCCTACAAAAATGCTGTTGGGTTCAAACTGCTGACCTTTTGGTTAGTAGGTGAGTGCTTTAACCACTGTGAGTGCTTTAACCACAGAGCTCTCCTTGTCCTTTGTAATAGAAGTCCCTATTATACCCATTTCACAGATGAAGAAACTGAGGCATCAAGAAATTAAGTAACTTGCCCAAGTATGATATGAGATATATTTGTCTAAAATGTTTACTATCTACTCCTTTACAGAGAAAGCTTTATGACCCTTGAAGGACATGTAAAGGGATAGGAGGACCAGAAATTGCATTTGTTTTTTAATTTAACAAAGGTAAGGACTCTTTTTTGTTTCTGTGTAACATGACCAAAATACCTTCTCCTATAGATAATCATTTTCTTTGTTTTCAGTTTAGTCTTCCATTGTTTTTAATATAAGCAAATATGGATTTATATTCATTGTTCTTCCTTATTTAGATAAAAGGCAACATACAATACCTCCTCTATATTTTGATGTTCTTGTTTTTTCACTAAATATACTCCACCTGGAGCTCACTCACCCTTTCAGAGCTATATAGGGCTTTACCTCACTGTGCCACAATTTATTCAATCCCTACTGATAGGAGCTCTGGTAGCATAGTGCCTAAGCCACTTGACTGCTAACCAGAAAGGTGGTGGTTCACACCCACCAGCCACTCCTCGGAAGGCTGATGGGGCAATCTACTTCAGTAGTGATGCTGCCTCAGAAACCCCAGGAGAGGTCACTATCAATCAGGTCCAACTCGACGGCACATAACAACAGCGACAACTGATAGGCATTGGAGTTGATTCTAGTTTTTTGTTACTGTCAATAGGGAAGTACACTTTTCATATCTATTCCAGGTGACTCTGATGCACCTTAAAGAAGGAGAGGCAGAGTTCTACAGACTCAGGCCTAGAAATATCATCCTCATTAGTGGACGGATGGTGCACACTGTGCACTGCAGTGATCTTGAAACCAGGGTCTGCATACCTTTGGGGATCCATGAAGTCCTTCTAACATGTACTCAGGCAAGGATCATTTTAAAGGATTTTGCAGATCCTCCAACTTTCTCATGGGGTTTTTCCACAATTGATCTGAGAACCCTCTTTTGTCTACTTGTCTACTAGCAATTCCCTTTCCTAATCTCCATGCCCCGCACATTCAAAAGAAAAGGAAGCTTCTCTTTCCCTCTAAATTTCAGTAGTAACAACCTACAGAGTATAGACTAAGGAACCCTTTGAAATACTCTTGTAAATGTCAAAAAAAAAAAAAAAAAAATGAAGGTCCCTCATGACTGAGAGACAAATCTTTTGCATGCTGGGAAGTTTCCAATTCTTTTGGGGAAAAAAAAAAAAAAAAAAACCTAAAGGAAATATAAGCTAAGAGATAATTAAAAATAATTTTTGATAAAGGACCAATATCTGATTTTTAGGCAAATAACTAACTAGGTCGTCATTGGCACAATGGTTAAGTGCTGGACCACTAGTTGAAAGGTCAGTACTTTGAATCCACCAATTGCTCCATGGTAGAAAAGAACTGGCAGTCTACTCCCTTAAAATTACAGCCTAGGAAACCCTATGGGGCAGTTCTACTCCATCACGTAGGGTGGCTATGAGTCAGAATGGACTCAGCGATACACACCACCACAAACGTTCAAACAACAGTCACGTTGCTACAACAAAACTTCTTATCCTATCTGTTTATGTGAACAATGTTTCTTCTCAGTTCTTACATCTATAAAGAAGGAAAAATGGGAATAGAATTAATCATGAACCTTTCTTACTTTAGCAATACATAATATTCATCAATTAATATATGGACTAGTTAAAAAATATAAGAGATGCATTTCCAGTAATATTTCACTCTTTATTCTTTAATATTCATCAAAAGTTGCAATATATTTATATTATTCTGATCAACTGTATATTTCTTTGTACAATTATACAACTGCATAATTGTATGATAACTCTATCCAGAAACATCTAATAGTAGAAACTTATGATCATTGAACATTAGAAATTAAATTTATATCTATACATTAATATAAATTAAATTTATATTTATACATGATTTTGTTGCAGTAAATTATGATAGAGTGACAAATAAAAGGCTTTCATGCATAAAAATATATCATATTAAGATAAAATTCTGTGGGGTACATGGAATGAGAATATAAATTCAAGAAGAAAAAAACAGATTTTAAAGGACTTGTTCATGTGTTTAATAAATGATATGTTAAATTGCTCTGGTATTTGAAGTTCATTAAATACATTAAAGGGATGATCTATTTGTTAATGTCAATATTTACGATATCCTGGAAATGGCATCGTTTGCAACTATTTAAAATTATGTTGAAGATTTTAGATGGCAACTCAAAACATGTAATGGGGGTACATAGTGCTGTTTTCTGCCATTGAACTGATTGCAAGTCCTGGT